ACGGCGAAGGGGTTTGATGCTATATGGGTCATTGTGGATCGATTGACCAAGAGTGCCCATTTCTTGGCCATACGGGAGAGTTCATCGGCCGAGAAGTTGGCCGACGTGTATGTTCGCGAGATCGTCGCTCGCCACAGGATTCTAGTCTCCGTTGTTTCTGACCGAGATGTTAAATTTATCTCCCGTTTCTGGCAGAAGTTCCACGAGGAATTGGGCACCCGGATGCATTTTAGCACAGCATATCATCCGCAGACCGACGGTTAGAGCGACCAGACCATTCAGATCCTCTAAGAAATGTTGAGGGCGTGTGTCATTGACTTTGGTGGGAGCTGAGATTCCCACCTACCCCTTGTAGAGTTCGCCTACAACAACAACAACAACTATCATTCCAGCAATGGCGCCCCACCTTTCGAGTTGTTGTATGGGCGAAGATGTCACACCCCGATTTGTTGGGGTGAGGTTGGACACAGGAAGATGGGATGAACGGATGTAGTCTTGCAGACTACCGAGAAGATTCAGTAGATTAGATGGCGAGTGCAGACCGCTCAGATTCGGCAGAAGAGTTACACCGACAGACGCCGATCTGAGTTAGAATTTTGGGTTGGTGACATGGTACTCTTGAAGGTCTCGCCTTGGAAGGGTGTGATCTGCTTCAAGAAGAGGGGGAAATCGGGTCCCCGATACATTGGGTCATTCAGGATCATTTCCAGAGTTGGCAAGGTGGAATACAGGCTAGAGCTATCGGAGGAGCTCAGTCAGATCCACAACACCTTTCACGTTTCGTAATTGCGAAAGTGCATTCTGTATGAGGAGGCAGTAGTATCACTGGATGACATTCAGGTCGATGTGTGCCTGAATTATGTGGAGAGGCCCGTGGCCATTCTGGAGAGGAAGGTGAAGGTTCTGCGGAAGAAGGAGATACCTTTGGTAAAGGTACAGTGAGAGCACCGAAGAGGGTCCGAGTGGACATGGGAGCTGGAGGCTGAGTTGCGGGAGCACTATCCAAAGTTGTTCACCGCAGCGGACTTCGAGGACGAAGTCTAGTTCAAGTGGGGGAGAATTGTAATGCTCCGACTCTCAGATATTAACTTTGTGTCTTTAATTTTCATAATTTGCAAGGTCTATTCGACGAGTTGGATGCCCTGACTCGTCAAGTAGAAGCAGGTATGGCCATGTGTTTAAGTGACCAACTCGCCGAGTCCTTTATAGGACTCGACAAGTAGGAACTGGAGGATGAAACCCTAATTTATGGGGGTTTTCACCCTATTTAAAGGGTCATTATCCTCCCTTACAGCCTCTTGAGAGTCCAGAAAACCCTAATCTGTGTGTGTGTGCTCCATTCTTGTGTGTTTTAAGCTTTGGAAGGTGGATCTTAGTGAGAAGAGCTTGAAAATCAAGTAGCTTGAAGCAAGGAACGTGTGTGAATCTGAAATCTACCCTAGTTTAGCATTATTTGAAGGTATCAAGTCGTTACCTTGACCTTCTTTCCTTCTAGATATCATTTAGTTGAAGATTAGGGCTCTTTCTAGCATGTTATGTAGCCATTATTGGGTATGAGCTAGGATCTGAAGTTGCAACTTCAGATCTGAACTCACCTTAGTCTCTAAGTCCATAAAGTTTCTAGCTTTAGCAAGTGTAAACCTTTCCTTATGTGTTAAACTCCATTACAAGCTTAGATTTGACATCCTAAGTCTTTAGAGCCTTACATACACATAAATTTTGCAACTTTACGTGATAAACATGCCTTAGGAAGCTTGATTTGCAATATGGAGCCTTAGAATGGCTTTAAAAGCATATAAATGGAGAAATGACTGAAGGGACTCGACGAGTTGCGTGGCCAACTTGGCGAGTCCGATGAAGATTGTTGTGCAAGGACTTCTACATGGACTCGGCGAATCGGTAGTGTGACTCGACAAGTCAGCTAGGGTTTTCCCGACATTTGGACATACATGAGCTCGGCGAGTTGCAGGGACACTCAACGAGTCATTGGGGGATTTCACGACTACTCGAGTTCTAGAAGGACTCAACGAGTCAGTGACTACACTCGATGAGTCGGGTCAACATGGACAGGCGACCTTGACCATTGACTTTGACTTTGACCAAGGGTTGTCTAATTGACTTCTGGGGCATTTTGGGGAAATTGGAAATTTATGAATATGGTTCTATGGTAAATATAGGTGGTGGAGTTTGTGGCGGTGATCTGAGAGTTTGAGCTTATGACTTCGAGTCGACAGTTGAGAGGTGAGTTATCCTCACTATACAAAGGGGTATAAGGCACCAAGGTCGGACCATTGGATATGATATCCTAGCAGTTGGTAGTATGTTGAGTATGAGTTAGTGTTGTATGCTAGTTGTTATGCTAGTTAGGTAGATCTGTAGGACTACCTGTGTTGTAATGTGATTATTTGTATGTGCATTAGTTGTGTTGTATGTTGACATATTATGTGGGATGGGTTGAGGTGATACTGCTCCGTGCGGTAACTAACAAACCCGGGAGCATTCCAGATACAAGCTGAGGGCCAGGTGGGGCATGCCAGCCTCGTACTGTGAGCTCAAGAGCATTCCAGTAACAGGTTGAGGGAGACTCATACTGTGGGCCCAAAAGGCAATCCAAACTGACATTGTGGGCCCAGGGGTAATCCAGTCTGTAAAGTTATGGACCCAGTACATGCTGTAATTTGTATATGTGTTATCTGTAGTGTATCGGTATTTTGGGGGAACTCACTAAGCTTCGGGCTTACAGTTTCAGTTTATTGTTTCAGGTACATCAGGGGATCGCGGAAAGGCAAAGGCGTGATCGTACAGCTCCTCATATTTATGTTTATGTTTCTGGGATACTCTGATATTGTACATTTTGAAAACAAGTTTTGTAATGATTAATGGCTTTTGAATTGTTTTTAAAAGTTTAAATTTGGCATGATTTTTATGGGTGTTATATGTATCTTACTAATAATACAAGACTTGATATATCTTTTGTTGTAAAATTATTAGCAAGATATAGTTCCTTTTAAACAAGAAGACACTAGAATGGAATCAAATACATTCTTCGATATCTTCGAGGTACAATGGATATGGGCGTATACTAATCAAATTCACCAAATGTGGAGTTAATTGGTTATGTAGATACTGGATATTTATCTAATCCACACAAAAATTGATCCCGAACATGTTATTTATTCACTTGTGGAGGTAGCTTAATTTCTCGGCTTTCTATTAAACAAACTTTAGTTGTTTCTTCTTCTAACAATACATAGATTATAAGAATTCATGAGGCAAGCCGTGAATATATTTGGTTAAAAAATTTAACTCATCACATTCGTGAGAATTATGATCTAACTTCTAACAAGGATGTTCCAACCATACTATATAAATATAATGTGGCTTGTATAGCCCAATTCAAGGAAAGGTTTATCAAAGGAGATAGAACCAAATATATATCACCAAAGTTCTTTTTCACCCATGATCTTCAAAAGGAGTGTGACATCAACATCCAGAAAATTCAATCAAGTAACAACTTAGATGATTTTTTCACTAAAGCATTTCCCACACCCAAATTTGAAAACATGGTACGAAACATTGGAATGTGTCGCTTTAAGGAAATCAAGTGATGTGATAATCAGGGGGAGTTGGAAACACATTGTACTATTTTCCTTATCTATGTTTTTTCCACTGGGTTTTCTTAGCAAGGTTTTTCATGAGACAATTGTTCTCAATATCTATTATTAATCATGTACTATTTTTCCTTAATAAATGGTTTTTTCCCATGCGGTTTTACCTATTAAGGTTTTAACGAGGTATGATACAATCGCCATTCAAGGGGGAGTGTTATAACATATTAGTTTGTGAATGACCATTAGATTCTTCATTTCTCCTATAACTCGTCATCATTATTCAGTATTAGTAACAACCATTTCAATGTGTTTTATGAATAATAATGCACCATCATAATGTGTATACATATTATAACTCATCTTTGATCTTATTTTGATAGTATAAATAATGAGCCATATGTATTGGAACATTGATGATTTCATCACAAATATTTGAATATAAATTCCCTCCCCTATCATGTCTTTTTTACTCTATAATTTATCTTATTATTTGATCATATTTTATAACATGTATATAAAGTAAAGTTAAAATGAGATTTTTAATGTTTGTGACCATTTAACAACGGTCTAAAATATGACTGTTTGATCGAAAATAACCTCGTTGCTACAGCCCACAGTAATGTCGAATAACGCCATTGGTGGGAGGGGGTGTGCTAGCCGATATAGCGGCGTTATTTTGTTGCCACATCGGATTAATGGGGTAGGGCGTTGCCTATACTCGATAGTCTAAAAGTGTTAAAATCAAAGGTGTTAAAATACTTGATTTTAGCCTTTTACAATAGAATCGAGTAACCATGTGGATCACACTGATTATCTACGATTAACGAAATCTAAAGTAAGATATAGAAGGATTGCGTATGAATAGACGAAAGTAGATTATACACAATGCCATTATATCATGGGTAGATGTATGCTCGAGATAAAAAAAAAAATGCATGGAATTGAATCACAACATTAACTGTTTAAACGATAGTTTTGTTTCACTATGAATTCTAGTTGCAAACCCATAGTTTTGATATAGTATAGACATTTACTAACGGTTATGTAATCAACATATTGCAAATGTCGATGCCAAAAAGAAAGTAAATGCTTTTAGAAGGTCAAAACTATGGGCTATTCGCCTATTCTCAAGGTTAAATAGTCCTACCGAATTTTATAAACATTTCACCAATTGAAAATAAATATATTTTTATTGGCTAATACATTGCGACATTTCATAATTCATAATTTGGCTATAAAAACGATAAAACCCGACAGAAAATATGTTCTCCACTAGAAAACTTGGACAGAATAAGATCGAAAGACACCATAAAAACATATCAACACATTAATTCCAAGTTGGCATCACAACCAACGCTAAAAAAGTGCCAACTCAAACGGTCAAATGCTCTAAAATAAGCTTCCGATCCAATCCACTTCTTTTTTCATCAGGATCGCAAGGCTAAGCTGTAATTCAGAGGATCTAGAGGATTCAATGCTCCCAATTCCGTAAATCACCATCTTTAACTTGTGTTCTGATTCCGTAACCTTATGGATATGGAACGAAGCTTCGGAGGTACGGATTTGATTCAGAAAAGAAGCGAAGAATCCAGACTTCTTTAGTTTCTCAATAGAGATTTGCATCTTCTGCATCAACTTCTGTTCTCGTTGTGGTGTCGTTGTGAGGTTTCTAGGAGCCCAAGGTGTTTGTTCTAGAGCTGTTATGAAGTTTCTGTAAGAAGCTGCCATTGTCATGCATATACTAGGTTGCTATGCAATCAAAAAGATCAGAAAAAAAAATCTGCAAGATGGAGATGAGTACTTGATTACCATCATTTGTGAGAATTAATGAGATCTGGTATTTAGCAATTAGTTATATACCCTAACTTTTCAACAAATCGAATTAACAAATAACAATGTAACATCCTCATCAAATATTTATGTTAATATGATACATAATAAAACGTACACAATGAAACACGAATGAAAATCCAACCTAGGTCAATGACCAGTGCCCAAAAAATTTCTATCCGCGAAACTGATGCCCACGAAGCTTTCTACAAACATTAAATTAATATATGGAGCGAAAGTGATACTATGGGCCCAACATAATAACCTAATAAGTAAGCCCAATATATGCTAACAATCACTAGAGGGATCAAAAGCAAAGTCAATGGCGGCAAAGGGAGAAAGTCAATGTACAAAAGAGGTCAAGAGTGTCTTGGAGACTTGCACCACTAATTCATGTTCATGCTAATTGTTTGGGCTTTTTATGGAGAGATTATATATATGGGCTTTCTTATGTAGTTATTATTAATAATATGGTTATTTTAGGTATAACCCATATAAGTTATTTTACTATAACTTTAAGATTCACTAAAGGTGGGAAAAAAAAATGGCAGCAAAACAAAATTTAGAACTGGAATGAAACGCAATCCGAGCCTCAATATTCAAAAAGGGGTGTATTTGATTTCATCCATTTATACAATCAAAACTACCAACAAACTTCAATTTTTTTACCATTTATCCACAACCTAAAACAATTCAAAAAAAAAATACATTTATATATGTATTATGCATATGAGAGTTTCAAATATATATATAAAAACGATATCACTATTATATATTATTATTTGTATGGAATTAAAAATCTTATATATTTTTTGTATAATTCTTTAAATTAAAAATCACCTAATAAATTATTATTAAAATTGAATACAAAAAAGATGGGATGCCCCAGAAACGCATTAGAGGCCAGAAAGGGAAGAAGAAGCATTGCAATTTGCAAATCAAATGGGGAAATGAAATCGTCGACATGGAATTGGAAGCGACGTTTTATTCCAACGGATACACTCAAATCAATCACTAATCAGGCAATCAATTTTCAACCACGCAACAATTAGGTAAATTATGTCGCTTTTGTTCATCTTTAATTATATATAGGTGATTTGAGAGGATTTTATGTTGATATACCCAACCGCATAATAATATATTCAGATGTTTATAACGCGTATTAATTTTACTTTGATCAACATAATCTACCCAGTTATGCATCTTGGACAAATGCAATTCACTCCAACTTTGAATATACGTAACAAGTATTTTTCATGTTCTCTCGTTTTAAATGTCAGTGAACCAGGATTGAATTATTATAGTTTTATATTATTCTGATTTCATAAATTTTATGTCTCCAGTAGGTTTGCATAGTCTCTTTTGATTTTTTTTTTTTTCATTTAGTCTTATAATAGTTCAGATTAGACATGCAATGTTGTACAAATCCATATGATTACTAATGAAATCATGAAATAGTTATCTGATTAGTGTTTTTTTCCTAATTTTCTGCTCCATTCATTAGTTTTGTTCTTTTATAAGGGGTTTGATAGTTTAGATTAAACATGCTTAATTCCCATAGACATTAATCTTTATTGTCTTGGGATAACTTTTGTTAAGATGAGTATTTTGCATCGGGTGAAGGATTTAAGGATGACAAGTACACGGTCTTATTCTTTTCCTAATAGCTATTCTTTTCCTATGTTTGTCACTTGTTCATAACTCGTGTAGCTTATGTGGAATTTGTATTTACCAAGGTGTCGAATTTTAAGCTTTCTTCTTTCATATCTAGGAATTGCTAAGACAAGGAGTACGACTAGAAAGAAGAATCATGATGCTTGAAATTATTTATATTATGTGATCCATATATTTGGGTGCCCTAGATCTTTGATTTCCAGGACATTAACAAGTGTACCTATTAAGAAAGTTAATCCTGGATTTGTCATAACGTGTTTAGAATAATAACTTTCACATAAATGATCAAAACTGAATTCTTCAGTTAGTGGAATATTTGTAAAAATTTTGACTTCGATTATAACTCAGAATTCTCGTCTTCCCGAAACAATAAAATGTAGCTTTAGGAGACCATTTTAGCCATACATCAGTTTCATTATCTTCATAAACAAATTAAATATTTATAAAGACCCATAGACCATGGATTGTTACTTAAGTTATTGAACAATATATCAACCATTGTGCTGCATATATACCATCTGATGAATGGTTTCATCATTTTAGTGCATTATGCTGCAAAACAACCTCAAGTGGTTTGTTTCTATTTTGTTCTTGTTGAGATTTCAATGAGATACTACTATAATATATGTACTACTATTATATTTTATCTGTTTTTTGTTTTTCTTTTTAGCATTTTGTAAAATTCAGTTATTGAAAAGTGTAGTGTTTGTAGTGTTTGTAAAATTCAGTTATTTTAACATTTTGTCTATAACTCTTGTATCTTATGTGGAATTCATATTTACACCATGATCGTGAATATATATTTTACTTTTTCAAGTGTAGGAAAAGCTAACATAAGGAGTATGCCTACAAACCAAAATCAAGATTCATCTAGCAGTATGAGGTTCGAGGCTTGTGAGAATAGTGGTGTGGCACGCTGGCTAGATCTTAACCATGACATTCTTTTTTTAATAATGAGACAACTTGAAGTTGTTGATTTTTTGCATTTAATAGAGTGTGCAAGTCATGGAGGTCATTTGCACTCTCTAACAAGAACAAATTTATGGCGTCCAAACCACCCTTGTTGATGCGAATCTTTAATCATGCACATAGGAAAGAGTGGTATTGTCGCCTAGAGGAGTTTGAAGGAAAAAAGTTCAAAACCATCCTACCACATTTTTCTAGAAGGAGATTTGTCGGATTAACTCGTGGTCACTTAGTTTTATACGGAGAAGAAACAAACGACTTTTGGCTTGTGAATCCTATCACAAGACATGAACTTCATTTCCCGTGTTCACCCTTTCGTGTCTTTCCAGATAGATTCAAGGCTATCCTTGTCTTTTTACTTTCAATAAATGGTTGGGTGTTTATTGCGATAGATAGATTTGAGAATAAAATATGGGTTTCAATAGCAGGTAAAGGAGCATGGAATCATGTCTCCCCCTCTTTTCCCATCTTTGATATTCATTATTTCAAGGGGAAGATATATACCTTACACGTTGGTTGTAATCTACCAGAAGTGAATCGTTTAGGTGAACTAAGAGTCGATTCAGATCCAAGGCCTGAAATCATGTTACTTGAAACAAGGAATTATCCGAAGCCAGACTCCTCACTTCAAGGGTTTGTAAGTTTGGGTGAAAACCTCTATGTGATGCAATGCATTTCACAAGATGAATGGAAGCTTCACAAACTAGATTTTAGTGAAATGAAATGGGTGTGGGAAGAAAAAGCAACATGGGAATATGCATTCTTTCATAGCAACTTCAGGTATTGGGCTGCTATAAAACCAAAGTCATGGGCTAACCACCCTTGGACACAATATGAGAGATATGCTTTCTTTCCTGACACTCCGGATAGTAGAATTCGTAAAAAATGCAGGATTTTTCAGGAAAACATTTGGTACCTCCTCCATGATTCTTTGAATGTTAATCATATAGGTGAGCAATAGACTTGTTAGTATTCTTACCCTAGTTTTTGTTTGTACGTAGGTTGAAACATTTGTAGGAATTAGATTTTGCAGTTTGTTGTCTAAACATTTTGGTTGTCATTTATCCGTGGCTTCGATTTTTCTCCCTTTTCTATGATGTGGCATCTTTTTGTGATAATATGTGTGGTGTACTCCACAAATGTTTCCTGCATCCATCAATCAATACATTAATTCTTTAAATTTATAACAAAAAAATGTTAAACTCCTTTCTCTCGTGAAAACTAGATGCACTCATTCAAAGCCATGTTCAATGTTTACTATATTACCCACTTTAATTTGAGATCAAATGAACTAATTGTCCTTGAAATTCTATAAAGTTTCAAGAAACAATTGATAATCACACTCAACAACAAAAACCAAGGGATCCAAACAGAGAAAGAGCAGTGCGAACTTTATGACAATGCACATCAATATGGAAACTGGTGATAAGTACTTGTTTCATCCCTTAAAATGGAAAGTGATGATAAGTTCTTGTTTTATATGGAAACTGATGATAAGTTCTTGTTTCATCCCAAAAAATGTTTCTTGCACTATTCACAAATTGAAAAGGATGAATGACTGAAAACACATAGCAACAGATTAAAAATCTTAAAAAGAATTAAAAAAAACAACGACCAAGATTAAAATAATTATTGTTCAAATTAATTTGTGGATCTCCATCAAAGTTAATAAAAAATAAGGTAAATTATAGAAGAATAAACAAACTGTAGTCCCCAAAATTATTTTTGTTGCTAAAAAGAACACCATCATTAATTCTTACTTCCACATTCATTTCTTTGCATAAACTAAAATTGTCTCATTTAAATCACCCGTAAAATAAATAATTAGCATCTAAGTGTCACAAATGGTATGTTAAAGGTAAAAATTAAACAATGAAAAAATTAAACACAACTTTACCTCGCGGTCCCATTATTCGCTCACCTTTTACCCACCACCGCCTTTCTTCGTTGTCAGCCACCGCCAAAATCCAAAATAAGGATTTTAGGGAAAATTCTCACAAGTGTTTTCCTCCTCTTCACTGTACCATGGCAAATATCATATTTGTGAAGATTCAATCGCATAACCAATATTTGATCTTCTTCTTATAGGAGTTCGGATTCACACATACTGGTCATATCTATTGAATATAATATCTCCATTAATCTGCTTGATTCCATAGAGAGGAGTACATGGAAATATATGCAATGCTCATACATGATCGAAGCAAAAGAAGCCGACTCTACGAGTGTGAGAGGAGCGGATGCAATAAACTCTGCCA